TAACTGTGTCATGGCCAGGTCTCTCCTTGCTGAACAGTATGAAAAATATCTGCTCCACACAGAGCGCTCGTGGTGGTGTTTATGTGCTGTGGAGTAGGTTCCAACTCATAGTGACCCTGCATAGGGTTTCTGAGGCTGTAAATCTTTATGGGAGCAGAAAGCCTCAGCTTTCTCCTGAGGAATGGCTGGTAGTTTTGAATTGCTAACCTGGAGGTTAGCAGCCCAATTCGTCCATACAGAGGGCAGTTTAGTGGAAATAGCCCTCAACTTGGGTTCACAAAGTTGGTGAACTTCTAGCTCTATCAATAAGCAACTATGTAGACCTGGACAAGTTGATTATACTATCTGGGTCTTAATTCCTTTTTTTGTTCATAATACTTGAAAGTGGATGCTAATTTTCTTCAGTCTGCTATATTTATTTTAAGGAGCTATATAATCTGGCTCATTTTAACATCAGTGAGTGAATTGTAGACTCTGTCACCAAAGATGATACTTTAAATAATTTTAAAGGAGCAACAACAGTTTTAGGATTAAAAAATAGTAATTAAAATGACAGTCAATGCTAACAACATTTTAATAGAATTATTGTTCTTAAAATAACTTTGATTTATTTACAATGAGAGAAATACATTTTTCAGTCAAAAATTTTAAATGGTTTGGACACCTGTTCTTAATTCCTTTTACCTATGAGGAAGCTAGGAGTGCTGGTGATACAGTGGTTAAGCACATGATGGTGTCTTGAACCCAGCAGCTGCTCAGCAGGAGAATGATGTGTAGAATCTGCTTCCCTAAAGATCACAGTCTTGGAAACCCTATGGGGCATGCTGTTATACTCTGTCCTATAGAGTAACCATGAGTCAGAACTGACTTGATGGTAACAGGATAAGGAGAATAATACTAATCATTGTTGTTGTTGTTAAGCGCCATCGACTCGTTTCCGATCCATAGCGATCCTGTATAGGGTTTCCAAGTAGCAGCTGATGAGCTGGAACCAACAACCTTGTGGTTCAAATGACTTTGCAGTCCAGTGCATTAGCCCACAGCGCCACACCAGGACTCCCAATACTAATTGATGTTGTTAAGTACCGTGGAGTCGGTTCCAACTCATAGTGACCCTACATAGGGTTTCCGAGGCTGTAAATCTTTATGGGACCAGAAAGCCTCATCTATCTCCTGCGCAACAGCTGGTAGTTTCAAACTGCTGACCTTGATTGAGGTTAGCAGCCTGATTGGAGCTCTGGTAGCGTAGTGGCTACAAATTGGGCTGCGGACCACAAGGTCAGTAGTTCGAAACTACCAGCTGTTTTGCTGGAGAAAGATGAGGCTTTCTGTTCCCGTAAAGATTTATAGCCTCGGAAACCCTGTCCAGGGTCGCTATGAGTCAGAACCACCACACAATCGTTACAGGACTTTAAAGTCTTTCCCAAATCATATTAGTGGTGATGGAGTTCATAGGTAAGCTGGAAAGTGGTAGAGAGAAGGAAAGACAGAGAGATGAATTTCTTTCTTCCTTTGAGCTTTATCCCAGTGAGCAGATGGCCTGTACATAATAGGCCACAATTCAGACATGGAGATAAAGTTGAGTCATAAAAACCACAAGCTGACTCAATCATCACCCTGAAATAGCTGTAACACAATCACATGGATTCTTCTCCTTGACACTCAAACCATTGTTCTCCCACACCCTGCAGATCACAGCAGTTTACATGTTGCTTTTAATGAACCAGCCTTGATAGTAACTCTCCTTTTCCAACTCCTCAATGGATCTTTGTATACTGGTCATTCATTCCTTTAAGACTCCAGAGACCAGAAGAATTTAAAAAATCCCTTTAAATTCTAAGGAAAAGGCTGGTATCTTTGAATAGGAAGAGCTGCCTCTTTGGGAATAAGGAGCTCTATGATGAGGAGTCCTGGTGTGGCGCTGTGGGTTAATGCGCCAGACTGCAAAGCCGTTTGAACTGCAAGTTCAGCAGTTCAAGCTCACCAGTCGCTCCTTGGAAACCCTATATAGGGTTATTACAGGTCAGAACCGACTTAATGGCATTTCACAACATGAGGCAGATGTGCTGGGAGTGTTCAAAACAATTGGCCAGGAGGAAAAGTCAAAGATAGTTAGGCAAGGGGGTGGAAGAGCTAAGTTTAACAGCCAGAGAAGGATATCCACAGCCACTGTTGTTGATGTTGTTGTTATGTGCTGTGGAGTCAGTTCTGACCCATAGCAACCCTGTACAGGGTTTCCGAGGCTGTAAATCTTTATGGGAACAGAAAGCCTCATCTTTCTCCCACAGAAAAGCTGGTACTTTCAAACTGCTGACCTTGTGGTTCAGAGCCCATTTTGTAGCCACTACGCTACCAGAACTCCCTCCCACAGCCACTAGAAAGCCTTTATACTTTCAGAATGGGGCTTTCTGGGTTCAGCCACTTTGCTCTCTTCACCTCTCAATCCTACTGTAACCATAACAAAAACAAATCCACAAAAAAACCTGTTAGAGCTGGGAAGGACCCTAAAGACCCTCTCACTTTATATATGGGGAATTCAAGTCCAGAAACACTGACTTGCCCAAGGTAACAACAGATAGCATCAGAACTAAACTAGAATTTGGGTCTTTTGACCCCTATCTGATCCTATGTGCTCTACACTTCACTTTGATGCTGATCCTTCCATAAAGCCACATCACTTATGTATTGTGAATGTACCAAGGTCTAGAAAGCTTACCTGACTAACTAGAATGTTGCCCATAACACAGTCTCCAGATATGTTCATGGTGTGTTTAGTAGACTCAGAGTGTAGAATAATAAAGTTACAGGCTGGTGGTAATTTTAAAAATATGTAGTTATTAATTCCCACTTTTTCACTTTAGTGTCTCCCAATATAAGTCTTTCTTATTCCCTTTTGCATTGGAAGACAGCAATTTGACTAATTTTGGTACTTAGCTTAAAAGTCCTAACTAACAAAATCCCTGATTCTCCTGCCTGCAAGTTCTGGTTTCCCACTCCAGGAAGATGTGGCGAATGGGGCTTCCCCAGCAGAGGGAAGTCATTGATGTCTGGTTGCCGGTATACAGGAAGCATCTGGGATTCTAGTACACTTCCACAGGAAGAGGCTTAAAAGGGAATTCCCACCAAATAGTCTGATGCTGGCTGACAATGAGCTGAGTGGGTTGTGGAAAACAGTGAGATGCACCATACTTTCATTTGGCTAAAAATGCTTAATATAGGCCACATTGCCTTATATGGTATGTAGGAGACACCAACTCAAGAATCGCTGAAAAAATAAACATAAAAGAATTACCACCTATCTATTAAGAACAAACTCTTTATCCCAGAAAACTCTCAGTCTGTTATACTTAGCTCCTTCCTCTTCTAGAGAGCCAGTGATGAGATAATGCCAGAAAATGCATAAGAATTGTGACTAGGGTGTATTCTGTTTAGGGAAGGTTCTAATATCCTGGAGAAAAGCCCTCAAACGGGAATTTCCCTCTGGAATTCAGAGTGTGAATACAGATTCATGACAAATGAAACTCATAGTGATCTACAACTTTGGGACCACGATCCTGAGTTTACATGGCTTAGCAGGAACCTAAGGGCCCTGTTTTAGGTTGCTATATAGGTCCTATCACTGGGTCAAAGCAAGCTGCACCGTTCCTTTTCTTTACAATAATCACTAGCTCTGATAGAATAGTGGTTATGAATTGGGCCGCGAACCACAAAGTCAGCAGTTTGAAACTACCAGCAAGCTGTTTTGCGGGAGAAAGATGAGACCTTCTGCTCCCGTAAAGATATACGGCCTCGGAAACCCTGTACAGGGTCGCTATGAGTCGGAACCGACTCCACAGCACATAAACAACAACAAAGCTCATATTAAACAGGTCTATAGAATTCACCAACCAGAATAGGGAATACAGGTTCAATTAAGTAAGAATTGCTGAGGCTTAAATAATACTCTTTCTATAATTCCTACATTTCAACCTAGGAAAGAAACTATGATTACTAGTTCCAAATTGCCTTCATTAGACACAGTGATGCAGGTGAGCCCCATCTGAGGTAGCCATGGTTGGATATTCTTTTGGACCAGCCTCTTGGCCACTATTATTTATCCATTAATCTGCCCTATACTAATGCCTGGGTCATCTGTCCACCTATTCTTACAATCTCTGGCTCACTGTAATCCATCTGCATCTTCTGAAGGTCAGGAGAGGAGGTTGCAGGGGGAGGAGCGGGGGAAAGCAAGGACAGTGGAGGCTAACAGGTCCTGGAAAAGGTGGTTCTCAGGCAGCGCAATCCTCCAACTGAGATGCTCTTCTCCATTCTGACATCTGGGCATAAAGGTGCCTAGCCTTCTCTACAGGATTGTATACTTCCTATTATTAGTTCTCTTTATATTCTTTTCTGCTTAGAAGCTTGAAGACTCTGACATATTTTCTTAGTACTTCCTACATCTGGGATACTGTTTTATATTTAGGTTCATTTTTGTTCATCACACAAACACCTACTCTTTGTGCCCTGCAGCATGGCCCCCTTATTCCTGATTTTTGCTTCAAGAATTGGAAGAAATTCAAGAGTAATCAAATGCATCTGATTTGTGTTCAGTACCCCAAGCCCTAGTTATCCTGGTTAGTAGGTACCTTCTAATGTGGGAGGAAGATTAGGTAACCCACTCTAGATGCAGACACTATTGTGATGGGAGTTCCTAAACCTTGGTGGTTGGTGGTTATCTGCCGTGAGGTCGACTCCAACTCATAGCAACCCTGTATAGGGTTTTTTGAGGCTATAAATCTTTAAAGGAGTAGAAAGTCTCATCTTTCTTCTGCAGAGCGACTGGTAGTTTCAAACTGCTGACGTTGAGGTTAGGAGCCTGACTCCTAACAACTACGCTACCAGAGCTCGTTTCCTAAACCTAAGGGCATCATTACCTGCTCTTCAGCCCAAGACTAGCAGGGCCAGGAGCAGAGGAGCTTCACTGCCCTCAGCACCCACGTGGGCCCCAAGAGACTACTTACCCTGGCGGGGTCCTCTCTTCCGACGGAATGCTGCACCTGACTGCAGTGCTTCTAGAAGACTGTCCATCACACCTGTCTCATCACCCTCTGTCATAAAGAAAAAGATGGAGATTAAACTCTTCAGGCTCTACACAGAATGCCTGGCTATTGCATGGCTTCTCAGTTATGACCAGACAAAGAGGGTTCTACCTCAAATCTCAGAAGCCCATGTGTACTTGTGTTTGTTTAGAAATGACTGAAATGGATGCCTACTTTCAGTATATATCATGGGATATTTTCCTGTGGGGTCCAGTAACCCCTTTTCCTCACCCCAATTATGACTAGCACACAAAACTGCATTATTCCAAGACCAAGGTAAGTAAAGAGAATGCGATTATGAAACTAAGGAATTCTCACTTCCTCTGTATCTTAAAATATTTCAGTCTAATGTACCTCTCATGGAAAGCCTTGTTTAGATTTCAGAGCAAGGCTGAGGTAAGATGCAGTCCATTTAAGTGCTGCCTCCAGTGGCGACATCTTCCTGAATAAAGCTCTACGTGTAAGAGGAACATCTTAGATGGGACACAAAGAGTTAATGTAGAATCCTGGTTTTAACCAGGCTCAGTTTCCATGGCAACAGCTCAGGGTGGTGAAACCTTAAACTGTGAAATTTCTAGGAGCCAATTGGCTGCCTGCTTTGAGACAGGCACTTACTGCTCATGGCGCCACCTGGTGGCTGAACAGCATTAGTGCAACTGACCTATATTCTTAACCTCATCGGCTTGCCCAGGGGACAGGGCAAGGTCCACTACGCCACCTGTTGACAGGGTGCAGCCTTCATCTTACATGTCAGGTGGAATTCACCTTTCCCCACCACATCCAAGGCAGTAGCTGTGGACAAGCCAGAGAAGCCTGGAGTAAGAGGTACTTGATGGGAGTGATAATAGCATTACTAGAACAAAGTTTGTGGCTATCGTAAGGACAAGTAATTGCTTCTCAGAAAAGTATACAGAAAAGAAATGTAGGCTGTTTCATCAAGTTTGAGTTCTTGGTCTATGGAAGCACAAAAGGAACTGCCTTTGGTGCTCAGCAGAGTGCTCTGATTATTGTTAGACCAGGCAATCCTGAAAACCCCTTCACTTGCTGAAGGCTCATGGCCCCTCAGGTTCAGGGAAAACAGGCATCGTCTCAGAGCTGGGGCAATGTATGCTGTGTTTCCGCTGCCCACAGAGAGAGCAGTCAGAGGGAAGACGGGGGCAGGGAATCAGCAGCAGGAAAAAAGCAGAGACAGGAAACAGAGGGCCAGTAATTGAGGCCATATGTTTCAACAAAGACATGCTTCTGGTAGTGAAACAGAGATTCTGCTGGAGAAAGATGAGGGTGGCCAGCTCCATTACTCTCCTCTCCAGAAGTTTAATCTATTTACAATCTGATAGGTATGTGCAAATACACTACGGTAATAGAGACACAATATTTAGTGAAAGCAGAAAGGGAGAAAAAGTCACCATTAAAAGGTGGGAGAAGGACCAGGAAAACATTTTAGAGAGAAGAGTGAAAGATTTAGCAGAGGGTCTGAAAACAGGCCAGGGGAACCTTTGGACAGGCAGAAGGAAAGAGTACGTGTTACAGCACCACTGAAATCACTTGGGAGATGAGACATAATACAAAAGCCTGCAAAAGAGAGAAAAAAAATATTTTTGTAAGGAAAATTAGAGTACTCATGTAACTGACGTGGGGTTAAAGTCCAGCATCAGGATGTTAGAAGTAGAAGGCTGCCAAAAACGATTTGCCAGAAGTTGAGCTCAGACATGAGCTATTCTCTCTGGCCTCTAAATTCTAGACAAAGAAGCTTTCCAAATGTTCCTGTCTTAACCCATCCACCCTTCTTCACTTCTCACCTGCATTCATGTCTATGAGCTGCTCTCTCTTCTGCTGCTTCTCCAGTCGCTCCTTCTCTGCCTTCTCCTTGGCTAGTTTTGCTCGTCGCATCTTCTCCTCTGTCTCCCGCCGCTTCTGGTTCTCCTTGACGGCTTGCTAGGGGAATGAACACATGGGAGTATATACACCCACACTCACCAGTATGCCCAGTGGAGAGTGAGAAATATCCACAAAAGATCTAGTCACCAGGTACCCTTCTCACCAAAAACATATTTCTGAAGTTGTGCAGGTCCATGAAGAATTCTTCCACAGACACCTTCTTGGGGTCAAAGAGGAAGTACTCGCCCATCTCCTTATAGAGGGTCTCCATGTTAGAATGCATCATTCGCAGCTTGTTATACTGTTCCTGTGCATCCTTTACAAAGCTGTTCAACTAAGGAGTAAAGGTCCAAGACAAGTGAAATATTCAAACAGATTCTTGCATGCACAAGGATGTTCAATACAGCACTGTTTGTAAAAGCAAAACACAAAACAAAAAATAACAGAAAAAAATATAAATATCCAAAAGAGGCAAATGCTAAACCATAAACTATGGCACATATATGAAATTGTTGCTGTGGTTGTTAACTGCCGTTGAGTCAGTTTCGACCCATAGCAACCCTGTATAGGGTTTCTAAGGAGCGGCTGAGGAGCTTGAACTGCCGACCTTGCAGCTCAAACTGACCTTGCAGTTCAGAACATTAACCCACAGTGCCACACCGGGTGTCTCCATCTATGAAATAGGAGGTGGAGATTAAGACACTGTTCTGCATACAGTCTCTTAATATGTGAAAAAAGCAAGATAGTACAAATTTTTTGTTAAAAATAAATTCATGAAGTAGAAATCAAAAAGAAAGAGGAAGGAGAGGGAAGTATGTGTTTATGCGTGTGAGTAATGGAGATGTGGCACAGAGGAGGGGGATAAAGGGAGACTTTAATTTTGTTTACACTACTTTCTTCCCCTGCTCCCAATGTGAATGCGTCCAAGAACCGTGTATTTACTGTGTATGTGGTGGTGGGGGGGAGCTTTTAAGAGGGAAAACTGATGTGATAGATCAGTTTTTTATATCTATCCTTTAGTCCTCCCCCACCCCATGGGAAATTTTCTTTCCTCTTGTAGGGTATCATTCCCTCTTTTTGATAAAGGATATAGTCATTTTTTCAACAAACTTGTCCTTCTCTTCTGTGGCAGCTGGAAAATTCTGAACATCACGTTCCACATCAGAAATCTGTTTCTTCATCTGATCAAGGTTCTTTTGCAAGTTCTCAGCAGAAACTAAAAAAAGCATAAAAACAGACAGTCAAAACCCTTCAGGTCACAGCTGGATCTATATATACTTTTTGGTATTTAATTATTTTAACTCTCTTGTGGGATCTCTTCTCATTGTTTCACACATTTTGGCTTACATGGTTCCAGTGAGGCTACAAATTACTTCGTGGTTGAACCGCCAGTCTCTACAAGGAATACAGAACTAAGTAAGATCAGAGAGAGGCTTCATTTAATTTAAAAAGAATCTATGAAGTACCCTGGGGTCACAGTTTCATTTATTTGAGAGACTGGTGGTGGCTGTGTGCCGTGGAGTCAGTTCTGACTCATAGTGACCCTGTACAGGGTTTCTGAGGCTGTAAATCTTTACAGGAGCAGAAAGCCTCATCTTTCTCCCACGGAACAGCCGGTAGTTTCGAACTGCTGACCTTGCGGTTTGCAGCCCAATTCATAACCACTATGCTACCAGAGCTCCTTATTTTAGAAACTAGGCTTTGGGAAAAAGGGAACATACAAGGAAATATAAGGGGGCTTCTAAAGTTCCTGGAAAAATTCCATTAACTTTAAATTCAATTTTCCACAACTGTTTTTTAAAGCCTCCTTATAGGAAAGGCAGTGCAGAAATCTGCTTCCCTTTTTTTTTTTTTTTTGGTCTTTGTTGCAGAATAGTGAATTCTGATTTTTTATTAAGCCAATTTATGTTTTCTGAGTAAGGAAAACAAGGGCTAAAGGACTGTTGACCCAGTTTTAAAGCACTTACCTTTCTCCCAGCTGGTTTGTGGTATTGGAGAAATGAGCATTTCCCCTTTCTACACATGGCGACCTCTCTTCTGCTTTACTATCCCTTGTGGATTAGACACCATGCCGAAACCCTCTCCCATCCCCACATAGTCTGAACTGACAATGATCTCAAGCCTAGACTGTGTCTCAACTCCCTATGTGGAGACGTTAGGGGCCCTGAAACTGCCCTACCTCGGCTAGCCTTCTCCACATGGGCTAGTTCGTCTGGAAACTTGAGGACATCAGGATAGTCATTCTCACACAACTCAGCCAAGAAGTGCAACAATGTCATCTTCTGATCGGTAGACTTGGTATCTCGAAGCTTAGGGTGAGAGAAAAACGGTCAGTTCTGGCATGCCTAAGATCACTTTAGGCCAACAGTAGTTTGTCACTCTAGTGTCCTGTTCTCTCCCCAGCTCACCTTACAGAGGAAGCTGATATGGAAGCCAAAGGCACCGGCATTCCTGGAGCCTGCATTCATATAGTTTCCAACAAGCAAGGTAATTTCCAGGAGGCTAGAGAAGCTCTCACTTTTGCGTAACTCCTCACATGCAGCAGTTACAGAAACAATCTCTGGCTTGATATTCTCCACTTGCTCATTGAATTGTAGCTTGAAGAGGATGGCATTCAGACGAGGCCGCAGCCGGGGCACAGTGCCCATCTGGTAGGGAAGATAAGCAGTTCCATTATAGCCAATAGGGAGAGAAAAGTGAGAAAAATACATAGGTTTGAGAATTGGGAGTTACAGAATAGGGAGGAAAGATAAAATAAGTTCAAATTAGACAAAAGGCAGAGAGCAGTACCCAAGCTACCCTCCATGGGCCATGGCCACAGAAATCACTTACCACCACGCCAAATTGCTCTGACTCAGCCAGGTCATCATATTCATCCTTCAGTTCAGAAAGCATTTTTAACTGCTCGGGCTCTGGCATCTGCTTAATGAGGTTCTGAAAGAGAAAAGGGACTTCTGTCAGTTTCAGGGGGAGGAGTTGACACCATGAATCTTAACTTGATTCTCCTGTCAGTCATACATACTCTGCCCAAGGACCACTAAGAAGGAAACATGTGTTGGAGGGAAAGTGGAGGATTAGAGGCAGCTAGAGAGATCACAGGATTTTTGAAAATAGACCAGAAATAACTACCCATCAGGAGTGATGGAAACTTATCCAGAGCTAGCACTCTAAGTCAACAATACTAGAGGACCGTCCTCATCAGAGCAGAACACAGATGGGGCTAGTGTACAGCTATGCAGAAGAAAGAGTCAGCTCCAGCAAACACCCTGCTCCTTACCTGGATCATAGACTCAGTCAGAACAGCCTCGTTCACCTCTAAGATGACAGTCTTAATCTCTTGGTAGGGCATTCGAAAGGAACCCAAAAAGATTGCTGCAGGGAAATGAGATAGAAAGACATGCTTTTTTTTGCCATCCCGAAATGCATCAGACTGCAAAGTTGTTTGAACAGCAAGGCTGGCGGTTCAAGCTCACCAGCTGCTCCTTGGAAACCCGATACAGGGTCGCCATGGGTCGGAATTGACCCAGTGGTACTTAAGAACAACCCACTCTACAAACCCATGCAGGACAACCTTCCTAGGAGGGATCTCTTCAAGTTACTCTCAAAATCTTCAGATAGCTCCTTGTTATTGTTGTTAAGTGCTGTCGACTTGGTTCCAACTCCCAGCAACCCCATACAGGATTTCCAATGAGTGGCTGGTGGGTTTGAACCACCGAGTTTTTGGATAGCAGTCCAGTGCTTTTCCTAAAGCACCATACCAGATAGCTCCTCATTGTCTATATAATTAAAATCCGAGTTCCTGAGCCCTATGTTTAAGGGTCCTACCACGTCAGTTTTCTCCCTCATTAAGCTCTCCATTTATATCACATATCAGCAACACAGTTCCATGAACTATAAAAACACCACAATTCTGTGCCTTTGCTCACCCACGAAATCTTTGACCCTCTGTCTATATGCATCACACTTTCACCCCAATCTGTTTTAGTCCTCTACTTCCATGACTCCATCCTCAAAGCCACTGCCTTTAACTGCTCTGATCCTTAAGGTGATCTATCCCATTCCCTAATAAACATTTTGCTGTGGGCCAATGTGTCAAATGGCAAAGTCGTTTGAGCTGCAAGGTTGGTGTTTCAAGCTCACCAGCTGCTCCTTGAAAACCCTATACAGAGTCACTATGGGTCGGAATAGACTCTACGGCACTTAACAACAACAAATCCTTCCAACTTTCTCATTTTCACCTTTAAATTGACTCTTGAATCTTACCAGGAGTCTCCGGGCCATTTTCTTCTCTCAGAATGTAATCAGATCCAGTCTGCCTTCTCTGTTTAACACAGCCTCACAGTCTGTCACTTACTCTCAAACTTTTTTGTTTCCTTCACCGTCCCAGTCTCTGGTTAATCCCATCATCTCATTTCTCTACTCTTACACCTGGACTGATAAACACTATCAGTGAAAACGCTGCAGATCAAAGTCTTTGAATTGGTAATGGTACCCTTGAGACTTGGGATCTCAGCACTGCTTGGTACTCTTTCTGTGTTTTCCTAGCTCACTACTCCATCCCCTCTCAGCGCTCCTCCAAAATATCTCCATTTCCTATTCCACCACTTCCCCATTTGTTCTGAGAGGATCTTGCTCCTCTTCCTGAGAAAAACGGAAGTCATTGGTCAAGTACCTTTCTCAGCTTTCTTTTATGCTACCTATAACCTATCAGCATTGGGGAGTCTCAACAGGAGCCTGGCTGGAAAAGACTGGGGTAAGGACTATTTCAGAATAACCTAAGAGAATACTGTGTCAAGACTTCTGTAAATTTATCAGAAACTATACCTATGTACTAAGGAGCTCTGGTAGCGTAGTGGTTATGAATAGGGCTGTGAACCGCAAAGTCAGCAGTTCGAAACTATCAGCTGCTCCGTGGGAGAAAGAGGAGGTTTTCTGCTCCTGTAAAGATTTATAGCCTTGGAAAGCCTGTTCAGGGTCACTATGGGTCGGAACTGACTCAATGGCACATAACAACAACATACCTATGTACTTATCATTTCCTTTTACTTCAATAGAAGAGTTGACCCTATTATTAAACCTTGCCTTTCAGCACTTATACATAATCAAATTTCTCCTCTCTAAAAAAAATTTGTTCCTGACCCCATGTTCCTCTCAAATTACTATCTTCTCTCCTCCACTTTACAGCATTAAAAAAAATACAATTATCTAGTGTACCCTACTTCCCTTTGTTTACCCATAAAGTCAATGACTAAAAAAAAAAAATCAAACTATGTGTCACTGAGTTGACTAATTCCAAGTCTTGGCAATTGTCCCCGCCCCACCCCATGTGTGTCAGAGTTAGGATCATAGGGTTTTCAATGGCTGAGATTTCAAAAGTAGATCACCACGTCTTTCTTCTGAGAGACCTTTGGGTGGACTCAATTTCCAACCTTTTGGTTAGCAATGAGCACATTATCCATTTGCACCACCCAGAGACTCCAATGAATGAACAGCAATCATGTGTTGAGTGTACATTATATGTAAGACATAGCATCTTAAACACAATAAGCAATCTATATACATTAACCTTATTCATACTATCTCTATGTTGTTGTTGTCAAGTGTCGTCAAGTAGATTCCAACCCATAGCGACCCTGTATAGGGTTTCCAAGGAGCAGCTGGTGAGCTTGAACCACCAACCTTGCAATTCAAATGGCTTTGCAGTCTGGCGTATTATAAGCTGGTATTATTAGTCCTACTTTACAGAATAAGAAACTAGTACTTAAAGTAAAGTTACTCATCTAACACCACACTGTTAGTAAGTACAGAGCCAGAATTTACATATGGAATTGATTCCAGAGCCTTTAAAACAGAACAAAACATTGTCCAACCCTGGGCTACCTTCGCAATTATTCTAATGTTTGAGTCCACTGTTGCTGCCACTGTGTCAGTCTATCTTTTGGGGGATCGTCTTCTTTTTCTCTGACCCTCCACTTTAACAAGCATGATGTTCTTCTCCAGGAAATAATCCTTTCCAACAACATGTCCCAGGAATGAGAGATGAAGTCTTGCCATCCTGGCTTCTAAGGAGCACTCTCTGACTGTACTTCTTACAACACAGATTTGTTTCTTCATCTGGCAGTCCATGGAACTTTCAATATTCTTTGCCAGCACCAAATGAACCAATTTTTCATGGTCTTCATTATTCATTCTCCAACTTTGATATGAATATGTTGTTGCTGCTACGTGCCATTGAGTTGGTTCTGACTCACAGTGACCCTGTATAGGGTTTCTGAGGCTTACTGAGGTTTTACATTTTCACAGGAACAGGAAGACTCATCTGTCTCCTGCAGAGTGGCTGGAGGACTTTCACTGTGGACCTTGTGGTTCGCGGTCCATCGTTTATCATCTAGCACCACCATGTTCCCATATGAATATGAAGTGACTAAAAAATATCATGGCTTGGGTAAGGTGCACGCTAGCCCTCAAACTGACATCTCTGCTTTTTAACACTTCAAAGAGGTCTTTTGTGGCAGATCTGCAAAATGGAATATGTTGTTTGATTTCTTGACAGCTGTTACCATGAGTGCTGACTATAAGATTCAAGCAAAATGAAGTCTTTGATAACATCAACCTTTTCTCCATTTATCATGATGAGGATCTTCACTTTATTTATGTTAAGATGCAAGCCATACCGAAGACTGTAGTCTTTGATGTTCATCAGAATTTCAAGTCCTCTTTGCTTCCGGCAAGCAAGGTAGTATCATCTTCATTATCACAGGTTGTTAATGAGTCTCCTTCCAATCCTGATGCCATGTTCATCTTCACAGAATCTAGCTTCTTGGAATATTTGCTCTGCATATAAACTGAATAAATATGGTAAAAAGATACAACCCTGACACACACCTTGCCTGATTTCAAACCATTCAGTATCCCCTTGCTCTGTTCTAATGACTACTACTTGGTCTATGTACAGGATCCTCATGGGTCACAAGTGTTCTGGAATACCCATTCTTCGCAATGTTAGCAATAGTTTGTTACAATCCAGTCGAAAGACTTTGCACAATAAAGCACAAGTAAACATCTTGCTGGTATGCTCTATTTTTAGCCAAGATCCATATGATGTCAGCAATGATATCCTTCATTCCAGCTCCTCTTCAGAGTCTGACTTCAATTTCTGGCAGTTCACTATCTATGTACTGCTGTAACCACTTTTGAATTATTTTTGGCAAAGTTTTATTTGCATGTGATAGTAATGAAACACTGCCAAGTCCTGTGCCATACTCACAATTGTTGTTATGGTTGGGCCCATTGCTACTGTATCAATCTATCTCATTGGGGGAGGTCTTCCTCTTTTTCATTGACCCTTCACTTTATCAAACATGATGTCCTTCTCTAGGAATTGGTCCCTCCTTATAATATGTCTGAAGTATGAGACACAAAGTCTCGACCATCCTGGCTTCTAGTAGCATTCTGGCTGCACTTCTTCCAAGACAGATTTGTTTTTCTGGCAGTACTTCTAATATTCTTTTCCAACACGATAATTCAAATACAGTGATTCAGTTATAGTCTTTCTTATTGCTCATCTGTTGTTGTTGTTCAGTGCCGCCCAGTCAGTTCCAACCCATAGCGACCCTGTGTAGGGTTTCTGAGGAGTGGCTGGTGAGCTTGAATCACTGACCTTGCAGTTCAGTGCATTATCCCACAGTACCACACCAGGACTCCTTTATTGTTCACAAAATCCTTCAATATTGCAACCCAAGGCTTGAAATTTTTCTTCAGTTCTTTAAGCTTGCAAAATGTTGGGCATGTTCTTCACTTTTTGTTTTCTAACTCCAGGTCTTTGTACATTACATTATAATAATTGACTCTGTCTTCTTAAGCTGCCATTTAATTTTTTCTGGTCAGCTCTTTAACTTCCTCATTTCTTACAGATGCTTTAGCTTACTCTATGTTCAAGAGTAAGTTTCAGAGTGTCTTCTGACATCCATTTTGATATTCTCTGTCTTTCCTGTCTTCTTACTGACCTTTTGCTTTTCTTCATGTATGATGTCCTCCCACAACTCTCCTGGTCTTTGGTCATTAGTGTCTAATGCATCAAATTTGTTTTGGAGATGGTCTCTAAATTCAGGTGGGATATACTCAAGGACATATTTTGACTACTGTGGACTTGTTTTAATTTTCTTCAGCTTCAGCCTGAACTTGCATGAGCAATTTATGGTCTGTTCCATAGTCGGACCCTAACCATGTTTCTTGCTGATGATATTGAGATTTTCCACTGTCTCTTCCTACAGATGTAGTCGATTTGATTCCTGTGTATTCCACGTGGGGAGGTCCACATGTATATTCACCTTTTATGTTACTGAAAAACAATATTTTCAGTGAATAAGCTG